TCAATGGAAAGGAGGAGAAGTTCATCAGTTAAATTAATATGTTTAATAAAATTACTTGTCCATCGTCGTATTACGCGCTTCTTAGTGTTCGGGACGTAACGAGAAAATTCAATTTGCAATAAAGACGACGAGAAACCGAACGGAAACCCGGTTCGAGGTACTAGTCAAAAATAAAGTTTTGTTGAATTACTTTCAACGCAAACGCTTTCATTCGACGAAACCTCAAGTCGTGCAATGAATGCAAATGATTATACCGCATGTCCTGTGACACACATACACACGCAAGAAATACAAAGCTGTGAGCGGGACTAGAATAGAGAAAAGTAGAAAAAAAAGAAATGTCATTGATTGTGAAATATCACTTCTGTGATATTTTACAATCAGTTGTTTAGCCGCGACTGAGACCCTTATCGGTAACTATTTAAGCGATGTAATAGCCTCATGTAAATAATAATTTCGTTAGAGCGAAGATAACCAAACGGGTCGTGGAAGATTTATAACGGATGGAAACTAAAGATAGTATAGCACTGAGCACTCAAGCTAAATGAATAATGTGAACAATGTGATATAAATGATAAATAAAAGATTAATTAGCACAGTAGCGTTTAAGGAGAAAAAATCAACTATTAAATCATTTACAGTGTAGATAGATGCTGATAACTATCATTTATTAATATCTTAAAAAAAAAGAGAGAGAAGGTTAAAAATTGAATTGTACATAGAAAATATAAAGAAAAGAAAAAGAACAGTAAGGGGAGATAGAAAAAGAAAGAGAGAAAGGGATTGTAAGATAGTGTATAAATATTGAATTTACTGAGGAAAAAAGGGAAAAAGAAGAGAAGGAAAAAAAAGAAAGAACGAATATAACGTGATGGACTGTGCCGGATGAAACGCTTGTCATGTTCGTAGTAAATCGCCGACACCGCGAATATCCTATAAGTAACAGAATCTACAAATTGTATTAGAACGGCAACATATTAGAATGGCGGATTGAGTGTGCATGAGACTGCATGTTAAAAGTATGCATGTGAGAAAAGTATGTAGTAAAAACGTTATTATTGTTGTAGTCTATATCGAATTTTGTTATATGCCTCGACTAGCATGCAAAATGCATGATACGTCTTACGACGTGGTTTGTTGTGCATAAAGAAGGAGTAAGATGAAGCAAAAATGAATGCTATGCATGTGTGTGAGCGAAAAAGAGAGTAACAGAGAAAAGAGCGTAAAATGGATGATAAAGCGTCACCGAAAAGACTCGATCCCTGCGTACACACGACAGTTTTTGTTAAAAGAAGGAAAGTGCGCGAAGAAATTCAGAGTACAGTCTATTACAATAAAGATTAAAATGTGAGTGTGACAGTTGCCCAATACTCCTTGCAGTTGTCTAGTATTCACGCCGAATACACCGATTCGAAACTCTCGATCGATGCCCGCGATGTCGGAGTAACGATGGTGATCCTATATTTATTTGTTGCAAAGTGAAGTTTTTCGAATGAATTCGTAACATAATATTTAAAAGTTTCCCAACTAAAAGTAACATTATATTGATGCTATAATTTCACACTTAACGATGTAACTTATTTAACACAATGTGTTTTATATTAAATTTATGTAGTTGAGTGCAAAATTATAATATTGATGTTGTTACTTTTAATTCGTGTCGATTGGATTGTTTAGCTTAAAAGTTTATTGAAGCAAGTCTCAAACGCTCGTATCTAAAAGAGAAAATTGCGTTAATTATATACAATATGTATGTAGAATATATTTTTGAAGAATACGAATTTATAAGATTCGAATAAGCGAGTTCTTCGATTTTCAATATGATAAACTTAAATCGGTGTCACTTAACGTAAAAAAATCGAGTCGAGAGTAACGAGTTTGGTGGGGCCATTGTGCGCTTCTACCGCATATACGAGATAAGTAGCGATCGAAAGATTTCAAAGGGAGAAATTTGTAGTAGCGATCTATGCCTCCTCCTCGAATCGTGAGAGAACAATCGTGTGAAATTATTGATGTGGAGAACCGATTTTCTAACCGCGATTGCATCCGCATTTGGTCTGTCCGCTTGTCAGTCGAGCAAGCGAATTATCCTCGAACTCGAAGGCAGATCGGACCGAGTGCGAAAATCAAAATTGGATCTGCCTTTTCTAATGGCTAGTGTTTAGAGATTAATGGCATGTTCAGATGCGACGCCGACGCGAACGTTCCATCACATTGGCCTGTCGATTGCTCGCGGAAATCGAACCAGAAAATTTTCTAAACGAGTTATAAGTCATTCAAAATTACAACTTGCACAATCTCAGAATCTAAACAGATTTTTACATTTTTTTGTTCTTTGTTATAAGGTGATGCCGCAGAAAACAAATTAACAGCAACATTACATCAATATTACTCGTATCATTTCCCACAGCTCATAATTAACAATATAAATGTAATATATTGTACATAACAGTTGCATTGTTGAGTAGGAAATCATAATACTGTAATGTTACTGTTAGTTATTGTATTCTGCGAGTGTTAATGGAATTACTTGATATTTCCCATTTTGTTTTTATGATTGTATTGTAAAAATCTATACTTCTTAATTCAATTTAATAGGAATAATTTCATAAAATTATGCATTTTTTTAATATTCAAAGTTTTGAGTTTTATACACACACACGCAAATTGTCCTAGTGTTATATCATCTCATTTTTAATGAGATTGTCAAATCATTCAAGACATGATTTATATAATCGAATAATGTGATAGTGCGTTCGCTGTGCACTGCAGCTGGAACTGCGGATTTCTAGAACTAAAACTATATAGCTCTTATATTCGATTCATACATATGTAAAATCGACTTTGAGATCTGTCTTCTCGTTGAATCATATGAAATCGATCGGCGCGTATGTCTTTCCCTTGTGGCTGACTTGCACACAAATAAATTGATGAATAGTTTAGCTGTTGTTTTCTCAAAAATCCCCTCAAATTTTTATTTGCTTGTGTAAGGCTATATTCACACAAATTTGCATAGTTGCATAAACGTATGCATAAAGAAAATTATCCAATCACATTTTACGTACGATTTTAAAAGAGCAATGCAATTGGATAATTTTTTTTATGCGGCTATGCAAGTTTGTGTGGATATATCCTAACGCTTGTTGCAATGTAAAATTTATTTAGTTTGAAAAGAATAAAAGCATTCGAATTGATCGCACATATCATATATACATTACGACTGATGGAAATTCGGACACCCGCATAAATTTTATCGAATGATCATGTAAAAAACTAAGATTTTATAAAAGTAATTGTATTATTTTTTAAATATATTTTAGACTATTTGTATATATACTAATAATTGCAAAAACTTTACAAATTAGTTTTAATTTTGTATGCCAAAAAGTATTGTCTTTACTTCATAAAACATTGATAGTATAATCGATAAATTTCAAAAATTCGCTCAGAGAACACAAATATGGGCTGATGCTATAGTATATGTTGCCAACCTATCCCCATAGGTGAGGGATAGACTAGCAAAAGCTTTATAAATTATTTTTAATTCTATATGTCAAGAGCGAATTTTTGAACCGATTATACTGTCAATGTTCTACGAAATAAAGGTAAAATATTTTGGTATGTAAAATTGAAAATAATTTATAAAACTTTTGCAATTGTTAGTATGTGTACAAGTGACCTAAAATATATTTAAAATATATTTTTATATCATGATGAATTCAGTTATTTTGCTATTTTTTTATTCATTGTGAGTAGACTTATTTTGGCCGCGTTTGCTTTAACGCTCACAGCGCTTGTGAGCAACAATTATCCTTATTTAATATATAATAAACAAAGATAAAACGATGCTTAAAGCATTGTGAGTGCCAGAGCAAACATAGCCTTTATTGTATATATATCCCGTATCTTTTTATTAATATTTCAGGGAGAACAAAGATAAAATTTTGAACTAAAAGTTCTTTTGTCAGTTTTGTTTCAGACTTAATTAATTAATTTATTTATTTATTTATTAATATTATAAAAATTAGAATAATTTTCAATTAATTAGAATAAGTTTTAATTGAGATAATGTATAGCAAGTACGAGAAATCCCATAGTTTGCTCTTGCATACTTCGTCTGCGTGCTAATTGATCAACTTTAATCGTTAATAACTCGGTAAGTGAATGGTCTGAGCCAAAATTGGCAAAGGAACTTTTAGTTAAAAATTTCATCCTCTTTGAGGAAGAAATTGACAATTGTACCAAATTGTTCTGCGTTTGTTCTATATTGTTCCAAAGCGATATTATCTTATTCCAAATCGTTCTCCAATAAAATGGTGGAAACAACGATTTATTTTTGCTAGCCCCATTTTTTTCAAAAAAATCAAACAATTTCTTCTCGCTACAGATTGTTCTAGTTGTTCCAAACATTGTTCCGTAAGTTGAATGGAAATCGAGAAAAATAAAAAAAAACATTTTTCAACAAACGAACAAGCGATGCATTGTGCGACTCATCTTCAAGTAGTTAGAACCAAGCATCGCAGAAATACGCACTCAATGTTCATTCAGGTTATCCTTTTTATTATTGTACAATAATATTTATACTTTAACAATAATTTTCACTATGACACAGATGCATAGGTTATTTCAAATTAAAAATACTCTAAATATCTCATATTACGATTTTTGCGCCTTATAGTTTTATGATCATCAAATCTAATTTCTGTAATTAAACAATTCAACATATCTTGTATTTTTTTATTAGTACGATCTTACTCTATCATTACATGAAGAATTTATTGCCAAATATTTTTACTTATTAAATAACATAAACAAGATTTAAAAGCTTATCTCAATGAAACTTAAAGACATACAAATTTTTAAATCTTTTTACAATGACTACAGGTATCTAATAATCAAATTTTCCACTAAATAGTTTTCAATCCAATAAATTCATAGTGGAACCAATAGATAGCGTTTATTAGTTTAGGGGAACGCCGCTATCTCATATTAGGCGCTTACAATAAGGGACTTTCCTTTATAGGTTAGCAATTCTTTTAGAAGAGCATTTTGATCTTAGCTCTCTGTTTCAGGTACCGTGTAAATTCCAAAAAATTATAAAAAAAAAGAATAATATGAAATGATTAAAAGAAAAAACGCATGGTGTGCAGTACCAAGGTGCACAAAAAATTTTAATTTAGAAGAACGTTATTTTTTCCGATTTCCAAAAGAACATGAAAGGTATGTTGTTTTTATCACTTTTTATATAAATCAATTTTTAATTCTATGTACATTTTTATTGATAAAATATTTAATTTATAGATGGTTGCAATGGGTACAAGCATGTGGAAGGCTGGACTTAGAATCAAAAGGTCCAGAATATGCGTACCAGAATTGTCGGTTGTGCCATTTGCATTTCAACGAAAAATGGTACAAAATAAATAAAATGAGAGCTCGTCTTCATCCAGATGCCATACCGACAAGGTTTTTTGCATATAGGAAGTAAGTTTCTACTTATAATTTAATTTATTTTTTAGTAAACGCAAAGTCTGTTTTTATATAATAGAGATATAAAAGGGAATGTAGTTTATTTAAAAATAAATTTAAAATTAATTTATACCTACGTAGTCACTTTAATAGGTGATAATGAGCAAAACAATATTTTATTTTTTACAAAAGATAAATAATAAAAAGCATACAGCCACAAAACAATAGATGTAAACAAGTCATGTATTTAAAATTTCAAATAAATAAGTAAACGTTTCGGTCAAGATTTGACCATCATCAGTACATAAAAAGATGACAAAATTCCCACTCATTGGAAATAGTTTCTGTGCCCACTCTATTTCTCCTTCCTTGTTTTGTTTCCCTTCCTTTCCTCTCATAATATAAATAGACTCCAGTTTGGACGGTTTTTGTCATTGTCATAAGTAATTTTTATTATCTTACAAAAAGTTTTTACATATTCCGGTTTGTACTGATGAGCTTTTGTGACCTAAAATACGTACCAAGTTGATTTTTCACAACTTCAAATTAATTTTTTTTTGCAAACTTTTATAATAATAATTATGTTTAAAAATAAAGGAAAGATTTTTTTGTTTTATAATAGAACTTGGAAATTCCGTATCTTTACAGGAAGGTTCTCATCGTTTCTTAAGAAAAAAAAAATATAAATAACAATAGATTGTTTATTAGAAAATTGTAACAGCTTTCCTGACTTCTTTTCATACTATTTTTCAAATCATAAGCAAGAGGAAATTATTTTAACTTTTAAACGTGATCATTGCGATTGTAATGGCATGTACCTTTTGCCTACCAATTTCTTTATGTAATTTTTAATTTAACATCCGACCTGCGTTTTAGTTTGTAAGACTTTCAATTTTGTCATCTTTTTATGTACTGATGATCAAATCTTGATCGAAACGTTTACTTATTTATTTGGAATTTTAAATATATGACTTGTTTACATCTATTGTTGTGGCTGTATGCTTTTTATTTATCTTTTGTAATTGTTTTAGCCACTTTCAAATAATTTTAATTTTATTTTTTATTTATTATTACAAATAATTTATGAAATCAGGAAATAATAACTAAAGGGTGTCCCAAAATTAACGCAAGATTTGAATTTGCCGCCATTTGTGCAGTAAAGTGTTGGCAACCCAAAAAAAAAACAATTTAACAGCTGACAGTTTAGGGTTAGTGAAAATGGATTACACGATAGAACAACGTATGTTCATTATTGAACAATATTTCAAAAATAATGAAAGTTTGGCGGCCGCAGTTCGAAAATTTCATACAAAATATGGTCGGAATAGTGTTTTAACTTCGTCAACTGTGAAGAGATTAATTGAAAAATTCAGGGAGACTGGATCAGTTGGAGACGCCAAACACACTGGTCGTCCAAAAACAAGCCGTTCAAATGTCAATATCGAAGCAGTGCGTGAGAGTGTCGGTGACAATCCAGGAACCTCAATTCGGCGTCGTGCACAAGAATTGCAAATTTCAAGAAGCTCTCTACAGCGTATACTCACTAAAAATCTGTGCCTTTATCTCTTTTCAGAGAAAACATGATTGACATTGAAGACAAAGCAGAAATACATAAGTATGTTAAATTCAAATGTATTTATAAATACTTTGTTCTTAAATATTTTTGTCTGTATACCTATATATATATATATATATATAAAATATTTTAAATATTTT